GACTAGAGCACTATATAGCTCCTTCGGAGCAGAGTAGCGCAATCTAGAACGCCGCCTCTCGGCGACTAGCGGCGAACGCCCGGAGGTTCCAACTGCGGTCAGAAATGCATGGAGAACGTGAGAAAATCGTTGTTTCTTCAGTATTGTGGGAATGTACGGAATCGCAATCGTTTTTGACATAATAATGGGACATTTTAGAATAATTTGCGCTATGTTTTGTGCCCCGCAAGGACCTGACTTTTTTTTAAAAATTGCCTGAGCGGCATCATGCAGCAGACGACACGGCGACGTCACAACATTCACGTGACCCGCTCCGGCCAACCCGAAAAGCCCATCTCCGCTGCGAGCAAAAATCGTCTGCTTCAAACGCTATTGCCTTGGAAATTGCCTTCTCAAAATTTGCACACTCATCCGATATTGTTAAAACTTTGATAAAGTGTTTAGTGCTTTACTAACTTCACGACAGACTAGTTTTGAAAAGTGTGAACTCGCCGTTCATTTTTTAATCAGCCGTGTTGTGTCGATCTCCATGTATTCTCCCATAGGGCGGGCCGCCTCTTGGAACCCTGAGTACCACGTGACTCGCGCCGAGCCGCTCTGTCGGCCATGTTGTCGGCAAAACACGGGGTTCAAAGGATTGCGTTACTCTGCTCCGTAGGAGCTATATAGTGCTCTAGTGACGACAACAGAAGACTTGGTTCTGGTTTGAAATTGATCGTTTTTGGAAATCAACTTTTTCAGAAAGATGCATTAGTATTCTTAACGAGATTTAAATGCATAAAAACGTGTTTATAGTGCGTAATTGTGTGTCTAAATAGTGTAAGAAAAATAAAATTTCATGCGTGTGAACGCGGGCGGCCCGTGTTGCTGGTGTTGCCACGTCAAGTTTCTGTCTGAAGCGGGCCTTAGTGGCTTGAGAGCCATGAATGCGTAAGGGGAGCGAGGGGTATGAGTGTTTGAGGGCTGTGAGGGCGGTGAGTGGCGTGAGGCGGGCCATGAGTGCGTGAGGGGTATGAGTGCGTGAGGGCAATGAGCAAGTGAGGGGCTGAGGGTGGCGAGTGGCGTGAGGGCTATGAGTGCTTACGGGTTGTAAGGGTGGTGAGTGCGTGAGGTTTAGTGAGGGTGAGTGAAGGGCTGATGGTGAGTGTGACTGTGAGGATGAGGGTGAGGATGAGGGTGAGTGAGGGACTGAAGCAACACCTCCTAGAATAGAGGGCCGTAGCGCACCGAGTGGTTATGTTTGAGCAGTGCTTCGAAACGTGCGTTTCGAAGCACAGCGTCTAGATGGCTCTGCTCTTTGGAACGCACAGTTATGAAACGAAAATCTAGATGGCACTTCGAACGACGGCAGGCGGATTGAAGTGAATGAGGGGGGGGGTACCCCCTTCCGCGAGGGGTCCACAACTGAGGAAATCTCCCACGGCGACTAGGGAGAAGGAAGTGACGTCAACACCGCAGCAAACGCAGATTGGATGTTGATTGTAAAGAGAGTTGCTGATCACAAATTTCCGCAGAAGAAAACAAAGCTCACTTTTTCTCTGTCATTTCTGCGGATATTCGTCATCAGCGTCTCTCACCAATCAACATCCAATCTGCGTTTGCTGCGCTGTTGATGTCACTTCCTTTTCCCTAGTCGCCGTGAGAGCGTGAGAGTCCAAAAAGCCCAACATACTGGACTCCGTCTACGAGAGCCGGGGGCCGCAGAGGTGTGCTGCCTCACCTGGTCCAACCATCCCTGGGCTCGGCTCAACCAAGATGCCCTTTTCCCCAGACACGGGAAAGCCAAGCACAGCCAGACAAGGGCAGGTGAACGCCACTCACCTGCTTTCACAGGCGCATGCAACAATAAACAAAATGGCAGAGACAAGAGAATGTTTGTTCTTGAACTTTGCCCTTCCACACGTCATCAAATCACGTGATCACATGCAACCACAGTAGTGCACCCCTCGACCGAGATGGCAGATTGTAGAGAAACTCTACATGCTCTGCTTGCGGAGCAGAGCATTGCAACGATTGCAACGATGCGCCCAGGGCGGTTATGTTGAATCCAAGGGCGCACTGAGGGAATCGACCGTCGCTTCTGCAGTAGATCCGGAGGCGTCTGCGAGACGGCATGCTGCGGCATGCGGACATGCCGCGTGTGTGCTTTCGTCCCGTCATTGGTCTCCTGTTTTCCGACGAAAACGCCCTCCCTTCGTAAAGCGTGTTTCACATGCAGTGATTTTGGCCCTAGAGCGGCGCGATTTCTGCCGTCGCGGAGCTCGTGCCGCTCAACCGCTGGGGCTGGCCAGAGCGCCGCGACGGCAGAAATCGCGCCGCTCTAGGGCCAAAACCGCTGCATGTGAAACACGCTTTACGAAGGGAGGGCGTTTTCGTCGGAAGGGCGTTTTCGTGCGTTTTCGTCGGAGGAGGGAGGGCGTTTTCGTCGGCTTCGCGTTGCTGTGTGGTTCGAGGTATTCGGATGTGCCGGTCGCGTATCGCTCCGCCAGCGCCGCAGACGCAAGCAATGCGATCGTCCTTAGTGTTGTCTGCTTCCCACTTAGGAAATAAACATCACTCATGTTTTAAAACAAAGCGATTATACTGTACCCAGTGGTTACATTACATATAATGTTCAGCGGTCAAGGAACCTTTCAGTTCGTTCGATTTTAGAGTAGAATGTATATATCGCAAACGCATTGCGAGAAACCCACTGAGCGAAAGACGTCTCGTGGCCAGCTTGAAAAGGCTCGACTAAGCTAGAGGCGTCTTGGGCTACGCAATACGTCTATAGACATCTTTACATCTCAAGATATCTTGACGTAAACGTCTAAGAAATCTCAAAGAAACGACTCTCGTCTTGTAGCTGTCTCTGAGATGTCTTGGAGACGCCTTGCAAGACGTCTTGTACCTCAAAAAAGAGGGAGCGTTATGAAGTCTACAGCACGGCTACAAGATGATTCAAGACGTCTAAGGTTATCAGGTCTTGCCAAGACATATACAAGACCTCTTGCTCGTCTTGCCAAGACGTCTAATAGACGACTTCGTGTTCGGTAGGAAACATGCTCCGCTCGAAACTCGGCGCCTGCAAGGTCGCTTTCCAGCATGAAGGCTGGATCCAGCTCGGCGCACGTGACCGTATCTTCGCCAATACGGTGTTGGCAACAGTAGGAAAAATGCGCGTCCGGCGGTGCCTGCACCTAGGGGGATCGGGGGTAGAGTGGGCTAGCACACACCAGCTTGGAGCACATGGAGCGAAAGCTCGCGCTGTAAAACCCCTGGGTTCAATCCCCACCCATGCCAATGCCCGTTTTGATCTGGATGAGCATCACACCAGCATACGGTCAAGTATCATTACTGCGTGATGTACGTTAAAGACCCAAGGCTAGCAGTTGTACTGCACTGGCTAAATTGCTCATCTACAGCTGAGAGACAAAACCTCCCTTGAGGCAAACTAGTTGACTTATTTTTTTTTTTTTCTACCAAAGTTCGTCTACCAAGGCAGGCACTGCTTGGCCCACACCAAGCAGTGCCTGCCTTGGGTTGAAACAAGATATTACACTATTACAGCAATAGTTAAATATAGCCTATTCTAATACACTGTAGCTTATCGGTCGTCAGTCTTAGGCGGGGACGTAGACTCACGTTTGCAGTTTGCTCCCTTTCCCACATACATCAAAGTGGATATGCTCAAGTGTGTTATTACATGCAACTGCTATAGCTTTGAACCATTTTTCTGCAGAACAAGCACTCATGCTAGAAATGTGCGTCTCAAAGTCAGGAGCGCGGGCTAGCTCGAGCTTGTAGCTTTGGCTGCAGTCTCAGCTTAAGGTGAAAGGGAATGATGACAAGTTAAGAGTAAAGTGGAAGCTCTTCCAACCTCTTTCCAATTTAGCAGAGCAAACACTGGAGAGGTGACCTCCTCTCCAGCTTTCGCTTCACTAAAGTGAGAAAAGGTGCAGTGGCGTAGTCAGGAATTAATTTCAAGGGGGGGGGGGGGGGCTTTGTCCCATCTTTGCGAGTAGTCGTCAATATACTATAGAATTCACGGGTACGGACATGGCCATCCCCAACCCCCCGGCTGGCTGGAACAATTCGCTAGTCATTGAATATTTGCCTTCCGTTACAAAAAAAAACTCGTAATTTGGGGGGGGGGGGGGGGGGGGGTAAATGACCCCCCAAACCTCCCCCTGCCTATGCCACTGGGTGGGTAGAACTTCCTTTTTAGCAGACCGAAAGCTGGAGTTGAGGCGACCTCCTCTCCAGCGTACGCTCTGCTAAAGTGGAAAGAGGTGGGAGGAGCTTCCACTTTCCTCTTAACCTGTCACAGACTATATCACTGTAAGGGCGGACTCAGAGGGGGGGTCCGGATGTCCTGACCCCCCTCTTGAATTCAACATGTTTTAAAATTTAGGGCGTGGAAATGGGAAAGGGGGGTCTTAAACATATGATACGCTGACCAAAACCTGACCCCTGACCCCCCCCCCCCCCCAAGAAATACCTGCATTTGCCCCTGCTCACTGTCACTTCAGACTGTGGCAAAAAGCTGCCGATTTTTATAAAATGTATCAGAAGATGGCAGGATGAGCACTTTGGCACAGCATGCAGTCACACCCTGAAGGGAGGCATTGTCTAGAGCAATCAATCAGCTGTAGTGTGCTACAACATAAACAAGTGAGCGCCGTTTTTTTATTAGATCTTTTTATCGTGGGTGGCTGCAATCAAAACTATTAGTTTAGCAGAATATGCACCTGCCTTAGTCAATAAAAGCTTATGAAATTCAGGATGTCGAGTATCAAACATCTTTGTTACTCTGCGGCCAACAAAATTGCAGAACCAACCGATAATGAATCACAAAACATGAACACAATAGGCAATGCCCTGCATGGCTCATTAGGACGCCGACTATAGGCATGAAATTAGGTAATCAGACAAGCACAAATCAAATGCAAAACAACAAACATTATGTTGTTTTGTAGTGTACATTCGAAGTTACCACGAACTATAAGCCAGCCAATGAGTGGATTACCAAACTTTTATTTGCCATGGCACCTCGGTTTACAAGGGGTGTTCCCAATAAACCCTTTAGATTGTGTGCCCAATTTAAATAGCACATACTATACAGTATAAAAAAAAAAATTTACAATTTCACTTACTCTTTGTAAACCTAAAGGTGGCCCTCACTAGGCACGAGACATCTTTGCAAGGAAAACAAATTTCTATCCCTTTTCGGAATAAATTTACAAGTCGTATTTGCTTTCCAGTGTATGTACAATGGTCCCCCTCTGGGACACATTTGTTTTCCCTACAAAGACCGACCGCCGAGGAGACAGTCGCGACGGGAGCATCGCGACACCAAACTGGAAAATTATGCACTGCACACTCAGAGGTATAGGGCAGACCAGTTTTAAAACAAAAGAACGAGAGAGAAAGCCTCCAGTCCCACCCTTTTTAAAAAAATACATAATCCTCCTGCAGCAAAAAAATAATAATTTAAGGCTAGAAGCTAACACCTGTGGCATCATCAATCTACGTGCGACGCTTCGGTGAGCGGCCAATTCGGACAACGACAAAAACGCAGGTGGAGGAGAGCGCACGGGTCACCGTGAAATCTCGGGAAAGTTCGTACTAGTTCCACATGTGCACATTCACACACGCACACAAAGCATGTGTGGCCGTCCTGCGAGGTTGCTAAACTTAGCTGCAGAGGAGGAATGCTACAGGAGAAAACGTCCAAAGTGTAGCCCCGCTACGACGGTAGCCACTGCTCTAAGAGTCCCCCAAAAAGACTGTCCTTCAAGGCGAGAGAGACACCTTTTTTTTTTTTTTCTTTGTCTGGACAGCATTGATATCACAAGGCGGTGCGCTTATTCGATTTTTAGGATGGACGCTTGGAAGGCTTCAATAGTAATCGCGCAGCTCGGTTGCCGAACTTTCCTAGTCTCCCCACCGTTCCGAGACTACCGCAATTGTTCACTGCCAAAAAGCAGAGCAAGTTGCTTGAGCAAGTACTAGCCTAAACCCCCACAAGTCTGCAAGGCAGGCTGCCAGTTTTGAAAGAGCAGACCACGTAAAAATAATGGACATGCATCACGGGTGGAATCCAGGAGAAGGGTTCAACGAGACAGTTTATACTTTGACGAGCGACAATTTTCGCCGTTACACGTCCCATTTTGTTGTATGCAACAGAACTAACCCAATGTCCTAATTGCATTTATAAAACGAAGTCTAACAAAAAAAGAAAAAAAAACTTCTTTGAAGGCAATTAGTCAGCTGAACCAACCTACCTAAGACAGGTTAAAAGAGCACTCAACACTGGACACACAGGAGGTAAGGTCAATGCTCTTGTTGAAGTGAAGCCCCGGAATACTTTAATATTGCATAAGGTATAGAAAGCTTGGAGCACCAGCTGAGAACCGTTCAGAAGGAATCTAAGCCAGATTGCGCTTCTAGCTAGCTCTGCGTCTCCCACGTCCCTCAGAAACACCCGAACAGCCGCGACCGGTGTAATTCAGGATGCCGTGGGACCCCGCACTATAGAAGCCTCTGGGTTTTCCGCAGATTCAAAACGGAACGTCGCTGCAAGGGCAGCTTGAGAACACCTGCCAACTCCGCCCGAACAGAATGTTTGGCCAAGCTTCTGCCCAATCGTGACACAACCGAGATGTGTCTTCACGTAGCTTTACAATTTGTTACTTTGTGTACAGCATATAAACACCTAACATTTCTCGAGGACACGCGAAGCGAGCCGGAGCCCAAAACAACTTTGTGTGCAATCGACGACACAACAAGCGAGGCAACGATTTAGTCCGCGCTAAACGTTAAAAAACAATCCAAGGAAGACTCGCTCCCGCAGGTACCGGAACATGTGCTGCTGATCATATTTACACGGGGAGGAAACGCCTCTCGGTCGGAAGTCGTTTTGGATGCTGCGTGCAAAACCCAGATGCTTTTGTCGCACCCAAAAGGAACGCACAAAAAAAAAAAAGGGTTTCTAGCTAGGCTTGAAACATTTTAGAAAACTAGAAGAGGGGCTGGGCAAGGGGTAGACCGTCCTCTTGCTTTCTTCCTCGAATTCCCACGTTTGTGACTTGGCACTTTGCTTTCTCGTTGGGTTCGGTACTTGTGTGCCGATTTTTGATGCCGCACTTGACGTCTGCATTGGCCACTTTTTTTTTCTCCTCCTCCTTTTAGTTTTTTGGGACGCGCCGGCGGAGCTGCGTGGAACTTAAGGCACCTAGATGAACGACTGATTATTCCCTTTCTTTGCTTCTTTGCTGCACCGCCACCGCCCCGTCCACCTCGCCGCAGAAAAATGCAACCTTCGTCCTCCGTGGTTCATAGTTTTGATCGGCGAGTTTTCACCCATTTCGTGAAGTTGGCGATTTTTGTCTTCTTTTTTTCTCTTGCAAAGATTTGTTTGCAATACGAAGGGGTAGACAAGCTTCTCTCTCCTCCCATCGGGAAGCCGGAAACGTAGAAACACCGAACGGCAATGCGCACGAGCAAAAAACTGAAACGCCCACGTACACAAACAAAAACAACACGCAAATAAAGCGCTTAGTGGAATCCTACCGGAAACGCGTCGACGTGTCTGACTCTTCTCCACAAAACACCTCGGGGTTCGTTTCCTTGGAGACCTTTGTCGGTTCGGCGTCCCGTTTCCCCTAGGGCAAGGGTGATGCGGCGACGCATGTAACCTGCCAAACCTTCACTTCTCACCCACACACTCGATACAAACGCATAAAAAAAAACAATATAAAAACACTAACGCCGCCGAGCGCACCGGTGTCTCTCTCAACGAGCGGCACTGCCGAGTAAAACAAAAATTAAAAAAAAAAAAAAAATGAGGAAGAGGGGGACTGCACATAGAGAGAGAGACTACTTTCTCAAAGAGCCAGCCGGGGAAAATCTGGAAGAGGGGGGGGGGGAGATTACTGACCACGACCGGGGAAAGGGGCAGCAGAGGCATGGTGGGGAGCGAACGACCCGGTTCCTGGAACTCGGTGGTGTGGGGAGGGGGGGGGGGACTGCAACGGCCTTCCCCACAAACACTATAGTCTCCTCCGACTTGTTGTTTCTCCCGCCACCTTTGCCACACTGGTGTCCGTTGCTTCATCTCCGGCCCGCATTGCGGAGCTCGCTTCCGCATTCCCCTGCTCCCAGGATCGTACGTCTCTCCTCTTTCTTCTCCGCCGTTCCGAGCCGTCCCATGGGTGCCCCCGTCGCTTCTAGGATCCGCCCGGGGTGCTGCCGTGCGCCGTCGCTTCCGTCGCCGCGTTCCGCTTGCGCGGTGACCTGCGGCTGCCGTGGGGGGGCGATCTGCCGTCGGGGGCCGATCAGAACTTGAACCCATCGGTCGGGATCGAAGCGTTGGGGTCGAACTGGTAGCCCTGGTCGGACGTCTGGGGCATCAGCGAGGGGTCTTCGTCCACCTTCGGGGAAAAAAAAAAAGAGCTTGGTTCGGGGCACAGCGTAAGACACTTTTTGGGTGGGAACACGGAGCGTGTCGAACGCCACTTTCCGCTCGGGACGTCTGCTTTGAGCATGCGACGGACGCTCGCGCGAACGCCGTGCCAGATATCTCTCTACTTCAACGTGTTCATAAAACTCTTCTTGCCGTCATTGAGGCACGAAATTAGAATCAATGACGAAGTTGAGTCTAAGCAACATGTGTAGCAGAAGTGTGAAATTCTTTAGGCTACCACAGGCCGCTAATCGAAGTGCCATCTGGTGGCAACCGAGACTAGGAGAGGACTTTATCTAGCAGCCGTGATGCAAGCAATGTCCAGACATGTATATATTTTACACTGAAGTTCAAGGCCGAGGCCGTCGACAAATATGCAGAGTATGAGAGCCTCACTCACGTCGTCCGAGAAATACTGGTCGATGATCTCGTACGCCAGCTTGTAGATTTCTTCGTTTTCGTGGTTTTGCAGGGACTCAATCTTGTCCAGGCCTGAAAGGAAGCACCGAGTACTGCTCAGTAAAACATCTCAATGCTTTTTGACAAGGTGAAACAGAGGATTAAGTTCAGTAATGCTGCAGACATTCAGACTGACCACCCCACACCTCAAGAGGTTTTGTGTTTAGTTGTTTTACCTATATCCCATTCACCCCTAAGCTGAGACTGCAGTGGAAGCTACTTCCCCGTTGGACCAGTGATACGCCTCTCTTTCCCCATGTTATCACGCCACCGACCATGCCCTCGCACGGAGAGCCGGGTCGGGTGGCAAGAGGGAGGCGGCTGATTGGTCCGGTGGGCACGTAGCTCCCACTGTGGTCTCAGCTTAAGAGTAAATGGAGTATATAGTAGTATACCTTTGCTTCATCATGAGGCACTATACAATGACAAAGGCATAACAATAGTCAACACCAAGACTGGAAGGATCCACAAAATAAACAAAGACCACCTCACCCCATACAACACATGAAATCACCAAAGCTGTATGGAACATTGCTTGGGACAACACGCTCAAACCAGATGTGAAACAAACCCCCATGCTCCCTTGTTCGAAGGCCGTCTTTGATAAATGGCAGAGACCTCTCCTGAATAAGAGCACCAATCACCAAAAAACACAATTCTTCTCATTTCTTCCTTCTTTCACGAAGTTCAGGATTACGTGGCAACACCGTTCTGTCCGAGCGGGCTGGATCTTTTCAGCTACTGTTTTAGCACACGTCAAACTTGCGCACTGTGCGGCACTGCTCAACAGCGGCACATCTTTGCCTTTTACAGTACAGTCTAGCCCGGTTATAACGAACCCATTTATAGCGAAATAGCGGTTATAACGAAGGGATATAGATTTCCCATTCCCATTTCTGCATTTTTAATGCAATTTGGGTTCAGTTATAACGAAGTAAATAAAACAGCCTCAGCCGATATAACGAAGACAAATTTCGTGCCGAGCAGATAAAATACTTAGCAATCACAATACTTTTTGACCTTTTTTTTGCAAATTTTGAGTAAAAAACTACTCAAAATTCGGCTGCCGGCAGCCTCCGCAGCGTCGTCTGCTCTCTCTATCGTGTAGCTCCTATAAGATTGCTTCACCGCACCACCTCATGCGCCGCCGTGTCCTTGAAACTTTTCAAAACAAACAAGAAAGAAAAAAAAAATTTCTGACGACATCACTCTCATGCGGCCAATCGTCGTCTCTCTCTCTCTCTCCCTTTGCTGTCACGTGACGGGTACAGTCGCTGGAGCCGCCAGTTTAACTCGGAGTCGGCTGGGGTAGCTAACGCACAGTAGCGTCGTTCGTGTACTCGAGAGAGACACCCGTAACTCTCGCGCAAGGTGCAGGCGTCGTGCAATGCCAGCTCCAGAGTCGCATCGCTTGGAGTTTTGAACACACCGCGACACGGGCAAGGGTGCGCCGAGGCGCTCGTCGTTATCACAGTTATCATTTTTCTTCGTTCTCTGCTTTTTGTATCATACTGACCGCTTCGCTGCTTCTGCCATTCCGACTTCCCCCCGACAACTTTTGGACAACGGACTTACATTAGTGTTAGAATTACACGGAAAAGACTCGGACTGCCCCTTGATTCTTCCGAATCACCGCTTTGTCGACCATGTCGAGTTCCGCGAGCCCCGGGACGTCGACGGGAAAAAGGAAAGTGCTGTCCCTGAAGCTGAAGCGCGCCATTTTGGATGAAGTCTGTAGGAACGTCAAGAAGAGCGATATCGCGCGAAAGTATGATATCGCGCAGTCTACTTTGTCGACGATTATCAAGAACGCCGGCAAGATCGACGCCGTTCTGGATGGCGACGTTGGTGGCGGTGACCGAAAACGAATCCGAGGTGCCACCTACTCCGACGTAGAAGCGGCGCTTTTCAAGTGGTTCGTGGATATCCGTGCGAAGAACATCCCGCTGAGTGGACCACTCATGCTACAAAAAGCAAGGGATTTGGGCTTCGTTCTTCACCACGACGACTTCCAGCCAGGAACTGGATTGCTGCAGCGGTTCGAAGACAGGCACGACATAACGTGCAAGAACATTGTCGGTGAGGCCGCGTCCGTTGACGATCCGTCACTCCAGAAGTGGATGGAAAAGAACCTGGACCGCATCCTTGCAACGTACGCCAACAAGGATATCTATAACGCCGATGAAACCCGATTGTTTTTTCAGCTGCTAGCAGCGAAAACACTGGTGGCCAAGACTAACAAGTGTGTGGGAGGCAAGAATAGCAAGAACCGCATTACGGTGCTCGTTTGTTCGAACGTGGACGGCTCGGACAAGCGCGATCTGCTGATCATAGGAAAGGCGAAGAAGCCACGGGGCTTCGCTAAGGTGCTGTCCATGCCGGTAGCGTACCGCGATAACAAGAAGGCCTGGATGACGCGAGACATCTTCACAAAGTGGATCACCGACTTCGACAAGGCGATGGACAAAAAGAAGCGCAAGGTGCTGCTTCTGTTGGACAACTGCAGCGCTCATCACGTGAATGCTCATCTGAGTGCTGTCGAGGTGCTGTTCCTGCCCCCGAACACGACCGCGAAGCTACAGCCGATGGACCAAGGGGTCATTGCGAACTTCAAAGTCCTCTACCGGCGCCGAGTGATCGAGCGCCTGCTGATTGACATCCGCACCGCCGTTGACCCAGCCAGCCTGAAGGTCCCGTCTGAGAAGGCCATATTCTTTGCGAGCAGAGTCTGGAGGGACATTAAGCCACAGACCATCCTCCACTGCTTCCAGAAAGGTGGCTTTTCGAAGAGCAGCGGTGCTGACGAGAGTCCTGCCGAAAACGGAGCAGTAGCCGCTGATGGTGGCGCAGCAGCGACATGCTTGGGGCGGCTCTGGGAAACGGCAAGCAAGGTCGACCTCGTGCCTCCCGGCGTGGATCACATGGACTTTGCCTTTGCCGACGACGACATCGTCGCTACGGAGGACGTGTCCACCGAGGACCTTGCCAAGAGTGTCTAACCGAAAGTGCCGATGACACTGCCTCCGACGACGATTGTGATGACGGTCGCATTTCGCAGCCAGTGACCTCGGGAGCAGCCGTTGCTGCGGTCGACGTGATTCTAATGTACTTCGGGGGTTCCGATCCGAGCTTTGATCTGCAGTTTGACAAGTTTGAGGCCGCGATCGTTAAACGCTCGCTCGCGAACAGCGTGCAGGGGACCCTAGATGGCTTCTTGCAGAAGGAATAAACACGTTCCCCCAGGTGAACAATTTTTTTTTTTTTCTCTTTAGTTTGGATATAACGAAATAGTGGATATAGCGAAGTGATTTTCAATTCCCGCCGACTTAGTTATAAACGGGCTAGACTGTAATCCCTCATTTTAAAAGTCAATGGGATGGCAAAAAAATTCTATATAAGCGGTACTTCGATAAAAGCGAGACAGCCAAAATAACAACACTGCAAAACACTCCAATCATATATTTAATCAAACAAACCTTGGTTATGGACAACTCGTGGTAGCTTTACCGAGTTAAAAAATAATTAAGTGGAGTTCAGTTCTCCTCAAACTGCTCCAGGCATCGCAAGAACACTGTCACTGCCGCCACACTCCACTTTGTTTCGAAACAGCCCTAGGATGTTTCCCATCTCCGCAGTCGTCGGTGTTTCCCAAGGTACCTCTCAGACGTCGCTTTGTGTTCACCCTGGCCGCACGCAAGGTCTACGATCGCAGCATCCGTGGCAGGAGCAACAACGGAAACGTCCACATCAACAAGCACGAACGAATCAAAGCTATCCTCGGAGGCTTCACCAACACATTTGCACACACGCCTGTAGAGATTATTGCAGCTCTAGGAATCGCCGGCTCGGCGAGCATCCTCGCAAGAGAAAATCCGACGTGCGCAAAGCAGTTGGCAATCTTTTTTCGGGTCGCGGAACCACTTCTTTCTGCATGAGAAATTTTTTAATTCGTCCAGTATGCCTTGCTTGTTTTGCAATATGGTGGATAGTTTCGTACAGCCAATGCCGGAATGTCAAATTCTTTGACTATTTCAGACTTGGGATGGCCACTTTTCTGAACCTCACAGATCTTAGCGACTTTCGGTAAACACCCCCACTCTCCCGTACGACAAACGTGTACGACGCAAGCGGAACATGGGCGCTGCTCCCGCGGCTCCCTGGACGCATTGGTGCGTCGGCATCGGAAGCGATGCTCCGCGCTCTGCCCTCCATCGCCCGTTTGCTCAGTTTTCTCGTTTGCTATTTTCCCAGTTTGCCATTTTCCTCGGTGAAGAAGGGAGAGGGAGGGAACGCAAGGGTCTCCGTGCGCCTTCGTCTAGGATTGCATTCTTTCGGCACCTCTGCCTTCGTAATAAGCGCATGCGGCCGCCGATACACTTAGAATAGTCAAGTCTAAAATGCGTGCGTTTCGGACTGGACCACATTGAACTTCAATAAAAGCGACAAATTCGAAAAAAGTGATTTTGTTATAATGAGGGATTACTATACTTAAAGCATGAAAGACCATTTCAGCTTATATTGGACACAATAGTATGCACACTCAAGGCAAGGAAATGAGCAAACACGCGCAAGCCGGCGGGGTGCGCGCGTGTGCTCACCCCCGCACTCCTCGATGCTGCTGGCGATGGAGTAGAACTGTGTGCCGGCAATCTTGAGGATGTTGTTGAGGCCGTCCAGCACCACCTGTACCACCTGGGGGTCCCTGACCGTGAGGAGGTTGCAAAGGGGGGCCACCACGCCCTGCTCCACCAGGTACGACACCTGGGCCTTGGTGCCACTGATGGTCAGGTTCGAGATGGCCCAGGCAGCCTCCTTCTGCGTCTGGAACTCGCCCTGCAGGCACACGCAAAGGGGAGAGGCACTCGCATTCCCAAGGAACATGCGCAGACTCGGCAGAAACCCGTCACACTCCCACTCTTACATTCGCCGTTGTTTTACCAACTGTCAGGGAAAATCTGTCGACATATCTAATGAAACGAATCCATTCCTGCGGTCCTGCAATCCTTGCATACTGCAATTTTAGCATACTGTAGTCTCAGCATATTCCAATCCTAGAGTACTATGACTGCATCATACTCAAATCCCACCATACTGTGGTCCTAGAAAATTGACTTACAGACTATGACACCAGTATACTGTGGTATAGACATGCTGCGTCCTGCGATTCTAGAATACTGTGATCCTAGCAATAATGGGTGCAGTGATGTGATTGGCCTAAGCCATTTTGGAGCACCTTTTGGAGCAGCCAAAACGGTGTTTTGGAGCAGCAAATGTGGCCTTTGCAGCAACCAAAACAGTGTTTTTGGAGCAGCAAAAGTGTTTTTCGAGCAGTTAAGCCAGTAAGTTTGCAGCAGTAAAAGTGGCTTTTGGAGCAGATATCCTTAGAAAATAAAAATATTTGTTTTAAGTGCTGTACAACCGAAGGGCACTTTGTGTTGTGTTGTGTTTTGATGTGGCGTGTTGTGACGGAACTCGCTGCTTGTGTTTTTGCTGATGAGACATCCCACAAGTGTACAGTGATGTAGGCATTGCCGAGCAATTCCGAAAAACCGCTTGCCACCGGTTTATTGGTTCCCAACGTGCCAGATTTCCCTCAAAAGTAAGGAAAAGTAAAACAATGGATTGCAAGTGTCCCGGCTGGTGCCTCTGTCGCGCCATCATGTTCGTATGCATGTGAGGGCAACTTCGGCAGGCTTGCACTTTCGCGTGCTTCGTCGTGCGAGCGGAGACAATGGGTTGCTTGATCAAAACAAAAAAAAAACTGATCCCCAAAACTGCATAAAAATGTAGCTGTCAAACATAAAAAAAAAAAACTTTAGCGCACGTGCTCGCCAGGCCGGCAAACGAAATACAAACTAAACATAAAAAAAAAGAACCTGAGTTATTGGTACAAGACCACGCGAGCCAGGGTCAAAAAGTTCTTGGAGCGCTTTGTGCAACCACTGAACTCGAGACAAAGAAACACCCTGTGAGAGTTCAGCGTGCAGCCATTGCCTTCTTTGCTAGCTCACTTCTCTTCATCAACTTTCTTTCGCGGCAGATTTTTCCCGTACCGGGGTCCCTCTCGAAAGGAAGCCCACCGAGAGAAACCTAGGTAATCAATACTTCGACACAGCAGTCTTTAAGTTAAAGAGGGATTTTCGTAGTAACGTATGATTTAAACAAGAATAGGAATGTTCATGAACATGCGGCGGTACTTAGTTTCATTTTAGAAAGCGACATATCTGCAGCGACATGGGGATGGCAACACCCGACATCACGCGACCACGGTGACTGGAAGGCAGGGACCAAATATAGTTTTCCCGCGGCTATTGCTTTCAGAAGCGAGTGCTTCAGCTCACAAAGTAACTCCTGCCGTGCAAAAACGTGGTTTTGTTTCACAGCATGACGGCGTGGCTGGTAACTGGCACGCTAGCGTCGGAGCGTCCGCACACACTATCATTAAAAACAAAATAAAAGACGTGAGACGACGAGAGCGCAAGACGCGAGATAACTATGCAAAACCGGAGGGACAATTGATGCTGGGGTACTTTGTGTCAGGCGGCCGCTTGCGCCACATGGCACACTCGTGCTCAATTACTCAGTTTAGTTTAGGTTTTGAAAGGCGATTGAAATTGGGTTTTTGGCGCAGGCTTGGCGCAGATTACCCATATTTTGGCAAAACGTAGCAGGACGTAGCAGGGTTAGCCCCTTGGCACAGTTTGGAGCAACTGGCGCAGCAATCACATCACAGTGAGTGTCAGTTAGCAGCCAGTTCTCTCGTGGGTCGAAGCACAAACAACAAGTCGGCTGAAATTTTCCACGATTCCTTTCTAACGAATCTCAGCTATGGCGCCTTCGAAACCAAGGTAGACAATGCTCTGCACACTCTAAAGAAACCACGCATGCATGGAAACAACGAATTTCAAAAGAATACACCGACCTTGGTTGTCTTCCAGTACGATACGACATCAATTTAACGCATGTTGAGGGCTTGCTAAAATCCTCCCCGCACTTGCAGAATTTTCCTCTTGAACGAAGATCAAACTTCTTAATTATGGCCTCTCACATCTCCATTCGCAGCCTGAATCGTCGGCATTACTATTGGAGCTCCCTTCAAGAATGGAAACTGCCCAAGGGTGAGACCCTTACCTTGCTGAGGTGGTGGATGATCATTGGAATGAGTGCTGCATCAATGACCGCCTGGACTTGCTGGTGGTTCCCTGCCGTGATGTTGGACAAGAACCAGACTGCCTCCTGAAGTTAGAAAGAGCAAGCCGGCACTTTCAGCAATGACAGCCACAAAGTCGACCATGTTTTCGTCTCAAAGCTTTACCACACACAATAAGGCTCAACAAAAAAAGAAAAAAAAAAAAAAAAAAGATAAAATTGCTTTAGTGTACATCCCCATTCAAGATGGCCGTTCCTTTCAGTGAAGGTTGAATCTGGCAAAAGAAAGAACTGCCAGGTTTTTTAGAAACTGATTATTCAGTTCTACTAAAGACTGCCTTCCCTCCAAATCATACATTAAGTGTCTAGTTTGAAGATGAACAAAACAAAACATACTGAGAAAAAAAAAAGCTAAAAGAGATTGTGTTTTTCCTACCGCATATTGTGACAATAAATAAAAAAAAGTAGTCGACCCAAATGCCAGCACTCCAATAGAAGATCCCTGTGCTCAAACACATTCCATACGTCCTCTTGTCTCCTAAGCACCATTCCCGTAAAAAAGCAAAAAAAAACAAAAACAAGAGAACATTTTACAATTGCAAATTGCCTCACCGAGCCATGCTCAATGCCGGCAAGGGTCAGATACAGACAGGAGTGGGATGCTCTAACCCAGACAGAGGGGAGCCACCATTCCCGGACTCCTGGCAGATCCCAACCTGAGCGCAAGCGATGCCTCCGGCAACGAGGGCAGGCAATCAAAACGGTTCTCTGATCACGGGAAGACGTCCCCACGTTGCCCTAGTTCAAGCGTTTCCATGAAAAAAGGAACGGGGACGATCCTCAGATGCACCTCCGCCTCTGCCATTGCGGGCAGACCTCCCGCACGAAGCCGTGAGCAACGATGCGCTCTAAGTAGGGAAGGAAATCCCCAGGAGTCTTTTTCGTCATTCCCCAGCACGCCGGGATCAAAGCACAAGCCCCTAGGTTAAAACCAGCCTGCGAGATGAGTGTGTGAAGACTCTAAAGAAGCAAAAGATCCCCCAAGAACCGAAATCGCCTCAAGTATCGCAAAAAACAATTGAGTGGATAATGGAAAAGCAGAATCATTTACATCCTTCTGTATGTAGGTTTGTGTAAATACTGAAGGAATAACAGGAAAGCAGGATCACTTAATATATTGGTCACCTTTTTCTATGTAGGCCTGTTCTCAATGTAACACCCAATCCTTTTTTTTTTTTTTAACATTGCATAATATATTTTTCATGTAACAAATAGTGTTCCTCAATTTTCGTCCCTAAAACACACTTTTCTTGACGTAAAATGAAGAACTGTAACATTTCTTCTCTCATCCGAAATTTGTAATTTGATCCTAACTTGGTCAAATTCAAAATCCAGTGAACATGTTGGCACTCGCACATCCCAATGGAAAAGGGCAAACCAAAAGGATAAGTGTGAGTTCCACTACCTGCAGTTCCCGCTCACCTTGTTGATCTTCTCCTTGGGGTGTGTGAGCAGCGCGGGGAAGTGAGTGAGGGCGTCGCAGTTTAGGACCACTTGCGTCTGCTCGTCTGTGCCTGTCACAATGTTGCCCACCGCCCTCAACGCTGCCGTCTGAAAAGCAAACCCAAGTGCACGGGTCTCTTGTCATCCCTGCACGCTCCAAATCTTAGAGAAACAAGCCCCCCCACAAGCGCAAACATTTCTCAGGTGCACTAAACAAGAAATATAAATAACCAACAATGTTAAAAAAAAAAAAGTTTGCAGAGTAATTATTTGCTCCCAATCAATTTTAGAGGCAAATTAAAATTACATAAACTGTAATTTCCACTATACAATTCACTTTTTTTTTAAATCTTTCTGTTGGTATGTTTTATGTTGTACAGCGACTTATATGCAGCTGTTTTATAAGTATGGACCTCAACCCCTTGAGACGCATGGCAATTTTGACTGCAGCTTGGGAGGCGCGCCTATTGATGCGTCGTTCTTCAGCTGGTCTTGGGGAGCATGTCTTTAAACGCTCCCTTTTCATTGCGCAGGAGGAAGCACTGTCTATCCCCAAACATCAGAAATAATTTTTCTTTAGAAACCGATGCATAGATGGCAGCACAAAAAAAGTTTGACGAGATACATGTGGTACCAAGAGATATTGGCAAAATGGGGGCAGGGAAAACGTCCCAGTTTGCCAATATTTTTTGGTCATGGAGGTCCCCAGTTAAAAGGGGTTAGCTGTGCAAGACGTAGGCCACACTGACATCTACGACAAAAGAAAAATGGCAGAACACCTGCCGGTGGCTTACTCTTCCAGCGGTCCGAAGATAGTTCGAAGCGTGGTGGCGTATACTCTTTCTCGCTAGTTGCACAATGCAGTGGAGGCCACAGGTAGAAGAGTGAGAAAAGCTGCTTTTGTATGAATTTTGAGTGACGGGCGAATCTCCGAAGGGGTGAAAACCAACAGGGAGGGGGTGCACCAAGCGGGTTGGGGTATGAGGGGAGTTCCCCTTTCCCCTCTTCTCCAGCTGCATGGGTCATGTTCTTGCCCCTGTACCTTTGGTAGTGTTGCAAGCAACTAGTGAGAGTACAAGTCTGTGATTGCAGGAACTCCACATGCCATACTTAGCTGCCCTACGGAGCTACAATTTCCCGGTGTATAAGTCGCAGTTTTCTTCAAATATTTTTCTTGGTGTGTCTTATACAACGATGCAACTTATACGCCTTTCTTTTTAATTCATGGTGCGACGCCACTTTTTTATGCGCCGCGCGCCATCTTTCGTAGAGCACCGTAACTGTGTAGCCATAGGCGGTGTTGCACCCTCCAGGGGGCACTGCTGTCGCCGCACTCTTCCACACTTTTCATAACCGACTCTAAACCGAGAAATTTTATGGTTTCCCCGAAGCGGCTCAATGTGGATAGGCAAGACAGTGAAAATAAAGCTTTTACAGCATGTTATTGACATTGCGCCTAATTCAGCCCTGGTTCCGTATTCTTTTTCTTCAGTCCACTAACACTGAAAGGTAAGTGGGCTGGTATACACGCATTGCAGAATACTTTCTCACATCTTTTTTAGTTTCCGCTTGATGAGCAGTTTCTTTTGTGCCATGCTCCAGCTGTGTTGCTAGATGTAAAAGGAAGGATTGTGCTCAGCCAATTTTTTAGAGGTACCGAAAAAAGTATGTAAAAATTTATCTTTCTGCCTGCGCTTCGATGCTCGCGTCATGTCCAGGACTTGGCCTAGGCTAGGCCTAGTAGTCCAAGGATTGGTTCACGAGTGTCTAGCTCTCAACTGCCCCCGCCAGACAGCACCTCGCTATGGGCGTTTCTCGCAAGTCGAAACGTCAAAGTCGCGTGTCAACCGGTATGTGCAATCTAGCTGATTGTGTGAAACTCCAATTTTGTGATACCAATTCGCGTAAACTAAAAGACTCATCGCGTGACCCGTGCTAAAATCTGCAACTCATACAAAGGTGCAACTTGCATACCAACTTTCCCACAAGCACGACTCAATGTACGGATGGGCGACTTACACAAGGGTGTAAGTCGCAGAAAATATGGTATGTGCAACTTACGCAAAAAAGCAACTTATAAACAAACTTTTGTTTTTCAAAAACTATGTTTACAGGTGGGCGCAGCCTTTACAACAGTGAGACTTATTCACGATGAGAACTATACTAAGGGGGCGCCACTGAGCAGCACACGAATCTCATGCAAAAACCAGAATGTGAGGATACCGGTTTTGTTTACAACACGCGTGCCATAGCGGTACGGCGCAACTGCTTGCTTTCGGACGTTAATGTTCTCTCAGCGGCGACACAACTAATGCGACTGAAAAAGGTATAAGTTTTCATTCAGATCCGAGAGAAAAAAAACCGGAGAAGTAGAGATTGTACTAAAACGGGGCAAAAACGTGACGGCGAACACGGTGGTGTGTTCGAACCCCTCATCAGATGCTTTCATAATAAATTATGTCGTATTTTGCATTATGTTTCACTTTTCTTCGTAAGTGCCTGTTTTGTTCTCCCTCCGGATTCCACTGGCAGGACTTGGCGCCAAAGATAATCCGATAATCCGCCTTTCTTTTTTCCCCCATACCCAAATTTCTTTCTTGTGTCGTCCGAGTCACCTGTCGCGCTTCAAAGTTGAAAGAATGAACAGTCCTTTTTATGATGTCCGATACTAAGGAACACTCCTGTATCTGCTCAATAAATCGGGTCCCGAGGATCCAACATTCAAACAAGTCTAGCCTTTCTTACGGTGCAATAGCTGCGACGTAGTGCTGTGATTGAGAAAGAAAAAAAACTGACCTAAGCTGGATATTAGATTCCTAATGAGCGTGTTGGTAAGATGTACTAGATAACAGAAAGTACGTCCTTTCTCTGTTTTATACTTTCTGTTATCTAGTAAGCTGGATGTTTCCCTATTTCGCCTACCAAAAGAACCATTGGGAATTTTTTTCTTTTTTTCTTGCAATAAAAGGTGTATTATGAAACGTTTATGCTCAATACTACGAGTGTAAATTTATTCTAGATGGCTTATGGTCAGCAAGATCATATAATGTCCCAAAACACTGGCTGTGACCCTACGGTTTGTTGCGTTTTAGTGACAGTAATTATAACTGCACCTCAAAACTACTTTCTTCACTCAAAGATCAGATATAAAGAAATCCCACATCTTTTAATTGTATATTTTAATTACATAGCATCTACACCCGTGCAATGTCTAAAATGGCTGTCATTGAACCATTAGTTGTCGATCAAATGACTTGTCAGTTTAAATGCACAATCTTAAAAAAATGACTCTGTGATAGAGAAAATTTGACAAAACGATTTCCACTAGAAGCTTGCCTATGTTCATTTTATTTTATTCAAATTTTAATAGGGTATAACAATTTATTTTCATTTCTTTTTTCTTCAATTCGAGTTATACTTTTAAATTGCGTGCCTCTTCAGAATGCAACAGTTCTTTTTTTGCACTAACTTTGTAAAGACTTAGTCATACATGCTTTATATGCTGGGAGTATTCACTTCACTATAATTACTGAAATAACAGATGTGGTGCTGCTGGTGATGTTCTTAACTTTGGTAAAGTCCAAGATGTGTATAAAAGCAAATGGGTACAGGACTGCCCGATTTTTACAGCAGAGCTGTTAAGGATTGTGTCCCTGTATGTCGACACAAACCTACCCGGACAGCTACTGCCATCTATAAGCGACGGCGACAAGCACACAACCAGTACGGTTTTCGCCATCGCTCGTAGATGGCGGCAACCTTTCCAGCTATAATAAAAGAATGGATAGTTGGAATCGTTGGTGGGAATTCACCGTAGGAAACAGCGCGAAAAACAGACGACGACGAAGAAGAAGCACACATTGTATTGAGTACAGCTCCGCTGGTCTTCCTTCTTCACGAGAGTGGAAAGGCTGAACGTTTTTAAAGATACAATGATCGGGGATCCTTTAAATCCAGAAAGAATTTAGAGGATCCATCAATCATTATAAATATAGAGCATCTAAACTGCGATAATAAGCCCTAGTCAGATTGTGATGCCCCTGGCAGAAATTTCTAACCGCCATTACGGGCACCTGCAGGCCGGTACGGGCCTGCCTTTATGGCGTCCAAACCATCGAGTCGGGGTGAAGAAGGAGAGAGAAGAAAAAGCGGTGCGAGCCTTACCTGCACCTTGACCTCCTTGTGACTGAGCAGGGGCACAAGGTGTGGGACCACCCCGGAGTCAATGACCCACTGGATCTGGTCGTTGCCACCGTCCGTGAGGTACGACAGCGCCCACACCGTGTCCACCAGGATCTGCAAAAAAAAAAATGCATGAATCAACTCTGCAAGATACGCGACGTCGGTTGTCGGGGAAACAGCCGAATGGCTGTATCATTGGCAGTCGACAAGCATCGAACGAAGGAGAACACAGTAGACTCTCATTGATTCGAACTCCAGGAAGCCACAAATTTTGTCTGAGCTATCAAAAATTCATCTAGATATGATGCAAGATAAAATTATGATTTGCCACATGAATGGCTGCACATACAAAGGAGGTATTTTATGATTTCCTCTGCACAGGTCTACTGATCATAAGCAGGCATGCCCCACATGAAACATACGTGAAATGTATGACGTAAGTTTATTTATCCCTCAAAAATGTTGTTTATAATGGACTGTTTGGACAGCACATGACAACTCAAAACGAACTGAAGTTTGTTCATCAGGCCAAGAGGTTGTCTAATGTCCCGTTAAGCAGGGGACACGTGAGTGATGAAAACGGGCACCACGCGGCAGTTTTTGTAGCAATTTGCGCGGACGCTGTGACGTGGGCCTATGCCATGCCGCCCCGTCACGGTGTTTGTGCAAGTTGCTATGGAAATTTCCGCGTGGTGCCCGTTTTCATAGCTCAAGCGTGCCCTGCCCGAGCCCCGTTGAGTGAGCTTCTCGCCGAGCACCAGTGCAGTGCGAAGAAGCAACACCCACAGAAGCAAGCTCCGCGGGTGTTGCATCTCTGCAGTGCACCCGCGCCCGGAAAGAAGCGCACTCAACGGGGCCGCAAAAACAAAAGGTAGGTATTCCACAAAAACGCCGTTCTAATTAAACGGCTTATGAATAGATTAAAAACATAGCAGGAACCTACTGTGCACTGTTCCTCACAGAGGGAACTGATTCTGGGCTCGTGACATGGGTGAAAAGGTTGGGGAATATAAGCCCACTTAAACACACAGTCTTTTCTGAACTCGAGCACCCAACAGAAAACACTGCCTCAAAAACAAAAGTTTGGGCAACACACAAAGCAAGTGGTTGACTAGATAAGGTTAAATTACGGTACACAAACCTATGCAAAGCATCCTGGCATTACGTGTCTTGCGACTGTGTCGCAATTCGCGGACACAAGGGTAAGTAGTGTGGTGTGGTGCTCTAGACACAGCCAAGCAAGGTCTGTGGAGGGTTTTGACGTAAAGCTAGCCCCGTAGTCCTTCAATACGCTGATGGTCACGAAGCTCCTCCGTAACGCTATGGGAGAGCTTGCAGTAATGCCATTGGTCAGAGTCATTTTGCACCAGCTCTTGGAGCAGTTCAATTGTGGAGCAACAAAATAACTTTTGTAGTATCATTTTTATTCATACCAATGCAAACATCATGTTAAGATTAATGTGTCTGCCTGTCCAACTAAAAGGCAATGTCTGCATTGCCTTCTCATTTATGTGCAACCTTTTGTTAGCATCAAATGCAAAGTGGGAGTGAGTCCCCTCAAACACAAAACTAGCGTTTAGTGATGTGGAGAAGCACCAGACAGGGTTACAAAAAGCTGATAGCTCAAGGACAGCACAAACTGCAGTAATGGTTATTTTAGGTACTGAATCCCACTGAAATATACAATAAAATTTAGCACATAAATTAACATTTCCTTCAAGTTCTAGAGGTTGGTAATAAAACTGCAATTTATAATTCAGATAAAAAACAAAGCACTTGTCATTTGATCATGAACGTCAACAACATTTTATGTGTAGAACTTCATAACATAAACGGCATGTAAAAGAAACTTAAAAAAAAACGCCAAACCCATTATCCACTGCTCCTGCCAATTTAGTTCTAATTTACTCACATCTATATAAAAGTGATAGCTAAACAAATGAGGTGGCATAAATAAATAAACATACAAAAGAGTGCACATAAATGTTCCTGCAATACCAAAGTATCCTTGCTAAATCTCAAATTGGAAACCAGTACCGCCAGGATAATGCAGACTATCATGTATACGAGCCGAAGTTGTATTCAGGAATTGCTTCGAGTCTCGCTCTGTAGAGTGCTTTCCCCTTAGCACAGTGGTGCACTGCGGAGAACTAAGACATGCAAAATCGCAATGCCTACTCTGCGGGTTTCGTTTCTCTGCAGTACACCAGTGTGCGGTGACGAGCGCACTCAATGAGACTAGCTAACCCTGAAGCAGAACAGACGACGAAAATTAGAAATACTGCGAAACTTCCGAGAACTGTCAGTCTTTCAGACGAAATGCATTTGAATATTATGTTCTTTGAGGACGATAATCAAAAGTTCTGAAAACTTTCATAACCATATCGCAACGGTCCGGCCAGGCAGCAAGGCCTGAGCTATTATATTTTCAGTATTATTTAAGTGAAATGAAGTACTGGCGTAACGTTAACGCAAATTCCTCTCATTTTGGTAAAATGTTGCAGGATGTAGCAGGGTAACCACTTTGGTGCAGTTTGGCGCATATGGCGCAGCAATTACATCACTGAGCTTGGCACGCGACCTTGTGTGGCGCTGCACAGACGAGACGGGTAAGAGCAGCCAACTTGGCCAGTACTGCTGGAAGCTTGGCAACCAGAAAGTGAGATTGTAATAAACCCACCCTGAAGGAGCCACCAACAGATTGCGGTGACACGTGATCGCACCGACGGCGTTTCTTGTTAATGTAGATGCCTTCAGCCCTGCACACCCAGTAAACTGATTGAACTTTCTTTTCTGCAACTTTTTCCAAAATATTGATCTTCATTCCTTCTTGCCCAAAAATTAATTCTCAATATACCGCTATCACAATCAAAATGCAACGATGCGAGTAGTGCCATCAAGTAGTTCCTGAGAACCCGTAAACTCAGCAGCCTGGCCCTTTTAATGCAGAAGCATCAACTGTCCCACGGAGCGGAGCCGACGGCATCAAAAACGACGAAAAACGGCACCTAAATTGGCTGCGACGCATCCTATCAGATGCCTTGTCACGCAAGCCGGCACGGCCGCTCAAGTTCAAAGCAGACACGCCTCGGAAATAAAACGCAAAGAAACGCACAGCAACGGAGATGTCTCGTCACGGAAGCCGGCGGGTGCGCCCAAGGTCAAGGCGGACGCACTTCAGAAATAAAACACAAGGAAAAGCGCAGCAATGCAATGCTTCGTCACGGAAGCCGTCGTAAAGCCTGCAAGGTTCGCTGCACCTGTGCAGTGGAGGAGCGTGATGTCACTGCCGCAGCGCCGTGTGTGATAAGAAGACGTGGCGCGCTGCTGGTACAAACGCGCTGCATGTAGGAATGTTTTCGCATTCCTACACATAAGCAGTCATAAGTGTCCCTGTTGTTTTGTTTTTTTTTGCCAGTAGAACATTGTTTTGCTTGACAAACAAATGAAAAACGCTGACTTCTAAAATCTGTTGTTAGAGATCAATAGAGAAAAGTCTGTGCTTGAAATCGCAAATTCAGGGCCGCAAGACGACGGTGGGGTGGCCGAACGAAAATGACTCCTCTGGAAAAGTGGCACCTCCGGCAACAGACTTTAACCCGGTGTCAAACTTCGGCCGAAGTTTCGTGACCAGCAGTGTATTGAAGGACTCTGCTGCTTTTGAGGTGAACCAACTAGCCCGACTAGCAACTACTTTGCTATTGCCCCCGACAAAATCTCCCCACCGCAAGCCACATTAAACCAAGAGGGCATTCCCCCTCACTCACGCTCTCTTACATGGACTCACTCAAACCCTCTCTCAACTGCTCACTCCCCTCACTCTCTCTCATTCAAACTCACTCACTCACTCAAACTTTCTCTCACTCGCACACTCTCTCTCAAACACAGAGAAGCGGAGGGCAGCCTCACATTGTTGTCGGTGTGGTGGATGAGGAGGCAGAGGGAGGGCAGGATCTCCTTGATGGTGTCCAGAGGAGGGGGCGGGTCCTTGTTGCGGCACAGGTTCACGATGACCCAAGTCACGTTGCGCAGGAAGGTCAGGGGCATGCAGGGCTTGATGAAGGACAGCAGAGGCTCCACCACGCCCAGCTGGATCACATAGTCTCGCAGCTGGGGGCCGTCCCCTGGGCAGAGACGACTTCATTGTGAGGGTGCCGCCGGAGAGACCGCTTCGGCGGCTTGCAAGCAAAGCCATCTGCGGGAACGTACCGATGATGTTTCCCAGGGCCCACACCGCCTGTTCGCAGACATTTTGGTGTGGCGACCTCAAGAGGTCCAGGAACAGAGGTACCGCATCTGGAGACACGAGCATTTGACGTCGAATTATTTTGCATCTCATTAATACAGACCCCAATAATATAGACACCCCGCTATACAGAGAATATTTTCGGGGACAAACCGGGCAAATCTTATCTCCTTATTATAGAAAATACACATTACGAATGCACTTTGTCGGAGATGGAGCTGTCCATACTGACGAGACATCCAAATGCACCTGACTTTAGTCTTTTCTTGTACACGTACACAATAAAGTGCCAACTCGGCGCTGAAGCACCGACTGCGTTATCTCAGCACCGAGATGCAGGCATGAACCGGCCTTAATGCAAAAGTCTCGGCAGCAGCTGGCAGCAAAAGGAAACAAAAAATTACCGCTACACAATTTAATCTAGTGATACTAATGATAAAATAATTAAAATGAGCAACACCCCCAAAAAAGTTGGAATTTTTACTCCTCATTAGAAACAGCTCAAAGACTCCAGCAGGATCCCTTTACGAAAAATCGAACAACTACCGTCAGTGACAGGTTCAGAACACAGTAAATGCTTTTTCAGTGCGACGACAACACGGCATAAGCATATCCAAAGCCAGAGGAAAGACAACTAACATGCGCTAAACGCATCCCCCCCCCCCCCCCCCCCCCCAAAAAAAAATAGAGAAGAAAACGACACAAACCTGCTTTTACGACTGCCTGCGTCTGTTGCGATGTGCCGGACGCAATGTTTGTGAGTGCCCATGCCGCTTCAAACTGCAGGGAGGGGCTGCACACATGGACACACACAGATCAGACACCAAGCCAACCGTCGGGAACCTGCACGCCACCGGGCGCGTGGGCCGGGGTGCGGTCACTTACTTGTCGTGCCGACGCAGGGCTTGCACCAGGATGGGCAGGATCCCCGAGTGGATGAGGTCGTCGATGGGCGGGTTACGGTCGCTCGACAGTAGCCTCCTGGCGGAGGGGGAGGGAGCCAAGATGGAGCAGTGGAGCCTTGCCACGCAACTAGCATGCACTAGATAACATTGTGAGACCATCTGTAACTATAGTGCTGAAGTATACCAGTAAAAAGCTGGACCAGCAATTTAAAAAATTTTCGATTAAGGGTATGTACTGCTCCTGCACTCAGTTCATCTCTCTGCCAAAAACGTCAGTCGTCACCGTCAATTCCCCCCCCTTCCCAGGTAAAAATGCAATTGCAGCCATGCGTGACGAAAGGATGTATGGGCTTTGAAGAGATGACAAAGGTGAGGGCTAGCTAAAAGACACGGGTGAAGTTTCGTCCATGTCCCCTTTTTCGTGATCTTCGATTCGTCACAATGCTCAAACGTGGGCTCTTTACGTTTGAGTGTTAGGCTGAGATTCGGGTTAATTTGGCGAGATCCCGATTCCCAGGCCAACGCAGACGCAGAACTTGTCTCCAATCTGCGCACCGCATTCGCCTTCTTTAGTAGATGTTTAAAATTCTGCACTATGGCGTTGTTATCCAGGAGGCATTGGAAACGATTGCCTTGTTTCTGACCGCTTGTTGGGCCTTAAAGGGAAACTGAAGCGGTTCTGTATTTAAGTTAAACACTTAAGTCGTCTTCCTTTGGCCTCCAGGATCACAAATATTGAGATTATTTTTCAATTTGGTGCATGGAGGCTGCAAAAAATCATATTTAAAGTACCACTGAACCTTCCCGAAGCACGACGTCACCAAAGGAGTTTTTGGAATCTCCGCTCTCCCGCATCTTCAGCACCTATCAAAGCTATGCACGCACGCTCTGGCTACGTTCAAAAAGGTCAGAACAAGACGTCACAATCGGTGTCGGTGTGGAGGAATATACTTCGCAAGCTTGTGACTGCACGCGCTGCCCGCACGAGCGACACGCGCTTAGCGGCCGAAAGACCCCTTCGTGACGCAACAACTGGTCGGAGGTTTTTCAGCCCTATCTTCAAGGAGAACACGACGTTCAGATTCGTGGGATAAGAATACTCTAAAATTTACCTTCAACGTTTTTTTTAAAGAACCTTTTCAGCTTCTTTTTAAAAGAAAGGTTCTGTTCTGTCTGTCCCTATGTTTATTCTTTCTGTTTTTATCAAACCACCACAGATCTACGCCAAACTGCTCGGAGCACTGACGGGCTTCTCGACGCCCGTCCGCCCGTCTCGCCGGCGAGCGTGTTGCACCGCTCACCTGGCCGACTGTACGGCGCTCAGCTGCAGGTTGGGGTCGTTGCTGCTGGCGTTGAGCACGATGGTCTGCAGGTCAGTGTGGGAGCGGTCGGCCTCCTCCTCGTCCGTAGAGTCCACCTGGGGCACGTTGCGCCGCTTGAGCAGCGACTCATCCCGCTTGTTCTTCCGCAGCTCCACCGTGACCTCGTTGCGCCGCCTCCGCATCTCCTGCGCAACGAGCACAGACGTCCCGTTCGAGCTTCGAAGCAAACCGGGCTACAAGGACGGATGGATGCTAATGGCTGTGCCCTTTGTATCGGGCGGTAGCTCGCGCCACCTAGCCTAGGAACTAAAACCAAAGTATTACTCCCTTCACTCTTCTAAGGCAATTTTTGTAACTATCACCAGGCAGTGTGGGATATCACCAGGATGTCCTTTGGGAAATCGGGCAAAAAACACTAAGGGAACAAGACTGTGCTCGTCTTGGCTTTAGCCAACATCTCATCACGAATCCTTTTTAAAGGAGCGCAAGGACTCTTTGCGTTCACACACAGCAATTTACGAAAAATAGTGTATGCTAATATAGCGCACACAAAGTGCAAAACGTGGTTAGCATTTGGTGCGTGCGCAGTGGCAACAAGAGTATTCCCTGTGTACGCAAAGCTTTAGCGTGGGCTATTCTAAAACTGCCTTTTCTTTTGGGCAACTCCTATCAATGTAACGGCAGCCTTTAAGCTTTCATTCTAAGTGATATTTTCAAGTCAAACACAACTTTGATACATAAAAAATCAAAGACATTTCCAACTCTTTGTAATGCCGAATTAGAGTGCAGCTCTTGAGGAGGAGGAGATAGGGTACGGAGGGGAGGGTATCCTTCCTTTCCCATCTTCCTCTCCTGCTCCACTCCCATTTAGCTAAAAATTTTCACTGAATTACCTGCTAAATTTAGCAAATATTTCCATGCGAAAGTCAGGGGGGAAAATTTTCTGCTCAATTTAGCGGGAAATATTCCTTGCCAAATGCAGTGGCAACATCTCCCCACTATATTTAGCGGTACATTTTCCCCCTACATTAACGTGTGACGTAACTTGACAAAAATTTATGTGTCGTAACACGTGACGTCATTATGGGAAACGTCCCGCTAAATTTAGCAGAAAGATTTCCCGCCAAATTTAGCAAAAAATGTTTACGCCAAATTTAGCAGGAAAACAATACGGGGAAAGAGGGCATGGTCGAGCTTATTTTAATTTGAAATTATTTATGCATATGCTGTCGCTCTTCACTGCACAAAAGGTCGCGTAGATGGTCATTGTTAGAAACTCGTCAGAAGGCACTACTCGTCACATGCTTAGTGGTTCGGAAATTCAAAGCTGTTTTTTCGACCTAAATAACTGTGCCATTGGTAGTAAATAATAAATAAATAAACATAATAAATGCAAAAGATAAAAAGCTGGAGAAAAAAAAACTATGAAACAAATTTCTCCTACCAAAATGTGTACAGGCTAAAAGAAACACGTCCCAAAAAAGGGAAATGAAAAAAAAAAAAAAAAAAAGATTTTTTTTTATGACGTGCCGAATTTGAACAATATTAGAAATCTTTTTCCCTGAGTTAATTTATTCCTCAACGTGAAAAGAATATATACATTAATTTGTATTCTGCAGATAGTACTGATATGTACTGTCTGTGGTGTTAATTTAAATGCGATACCTCAAACAATTTCGACGAAACAATTTCCAAGTTTAGGGCATAATTGCCCGTGGATACATATTTAGATATTTCTTCGAAACTTGTCCTGAACAATAATCGTATCTTAAAAAACGACACTTACCTAGTCTATACATAGATCGTTCTTAAAAAAGTTTAACATCTCTACCATAAATATCTTCGCGCTTCAAATATGGCACAAACGACAATTGTCAAAAACCCGTCGTCCTTACTCGCTCCTTCGGGAATCTATTTCTTTAAAACCAAGCATGCCAGATGATTGAAATAAACGGCATTGTCTTTCGCAAAGAATGCAACACCACATGTAAAAATGCGAAAAAAAAAAAAAAAATTACGAATGTATGAAACCGCTTGCCGTCTTTCGAAGTTCGACGAACTTCGAACTTTCCTTCTAAAAATTCGAAGTTCATTTAACTTTTTACTTTTCAGGAATCGGAAGTTCGAAAATTTTTTAATTCTTTAGATTAATAGGTTCGAAAATTATTGAATTGCTTAGCGTAGGAAGTTCGAAAAGCTTCGAATTTTTTAGTCTATCAAGTTCGAAAGTTCGACAAGCATCGAATTTTGCAGCGTAATAAGTTCGAAATTTCGAAAAGCGTCAAACTTCTTAGTTTAACAAGTTCGAAAATTCGACTTCCATCGAATTTCTCGATATGGAAAGTTTGAAAATTCTAAATCTTTCGAACCTTTCGAACCGCTTGATTCAATCATCGAAACTTCGATTCGAAAAAAGTTTGCGGCATCCCTAATACCCTCCCCTCAGTATCCTTCCCTCCTCCTCCTCCTCTTCAAGAGCTGCGCTCTAATTCGGCGTTACAGGGAGTTGTAAACGGCTTTCATTTTTTTTTTCAATAAAAAACATTTTACTTGCTCCCTCCCTCCCTCTCTTTCTCACTCCCCCTCCCCCCTCTCCTCCTCCTCTCCCCCCCCCCCCCGTAAATAGGCTAGAAACCTTCATCACATGGAAGTTGCACAAAACTCGAGGGTTAAACAAACAAATCATTGATTATGCGCGACCATTCAATGTGCTCATAAGTGAATTGACCGGCTGTGTTTGATGTACACTGCATGGCACTGTTAGAGCAAACACATCGGCACTTTCAGATTTTATTTTGAAGGGCTACAGACAGATGCTAAGTTTTACCGCTTAGGTTAGTTTCCCAAGTGACCACTTTCGACTCCACTTGAAATTTTGACGATCTTTAGCTTCTAAAAAAAATCTGCTGGTTGTTGGCTTGCACCAACAGTGTCTTGCCCCCAAGAAAGGCTACTGCACACACACAGACATAACTGTAATAAAAAAAAAAAGAGAGATCTGGTAGTACGTCTAATGTACCTCTAGACAAGGTGAATTATTGTAGTCAATTGCTGCCAAGTTACCCCCCCCCCCCCCCCCAAATTGGTTCTTGCACAATCAATTCGGGGCCATGCAAACACACCACCCAGTTCAGTGACAAGCTAACTTGAAGAATCAATACACTGACTACTCATGAGTCACGACTGTAAAGGCCTGTCCACAAACTTGCATTTGATCGGGATCAAGTTCTTGTAATCTCGGACAACGAGGGAATACCCTGGCACACTGACTCCATCTATGAGGCGACCCTGGAACTGCATTTCACTGGAGCGAAAGTTTTGCAATATTTGTGAGATCAAATGCACACATACAAGAAATGGTCGTATGTAACATTGTCCAGTTTTTCGAGCCAAGAAAAAAAAAATGATGAGCAGAAAAAATGGGAAATAAACGGAAACTGCAAGTGTTCCACGGCTGCCCGATAGATGGCGCCACTCGTCGTAAAAAGATTTCAAGGGGTTTCAAGGTTGTCGCAACCGTGTGAAGCGGCCTTCGCGTAAATGGTTTTCTAGCAACACAGCAGTCTACAAACTTCTACAAAAAATGTTCCTGGTTCGGCACGTGTCCCAAACAACTTCTGCTTAAACTTTTTAAAAATGCTTGCTTGTAGTTTGTGGCAGCCTGACGCTAGCAAAGCACATCATTGTTATGAATATTCTGCTCCTATAATGACTTCCGCCTACGCTTTATTGCCCGAAAATACTCCATTTTTTTAATCGAAGGCGAGCAAAGTGAACTTTATGTGCACGATCCCAACAGCCAATGAACGCAGGTTATTATCCAATTCTGTCAGTTTCCGAATCTGGTCCAAAATGAGTCCCACTCTTATAAAGAAAACATGACAAAACAAGCACTCCAGGAACTTTACAATGTTCACTTCCAGAATAAATCACCCTGAACAAGGTTTCTCATTGGAGCTCTTTCTACAGATCACTCGACTCCCAAAATAATTTTTAAGTGCCTTGTTCACTCATGCATGTCACAAAACAAAGTTTAATGCCCCCCCCCCCCCCCCACCCACACACACACACACAAAAAAAAGCACATTATTTACGTTGCGAGACATTTTCAGTTAGGAGACATTAGTTTCGGAGTCGCTCCTAACAAAAAAATTTGTCTCACAACGTAAACATTGAATATTTTTTTAATGGGATGGCTTTATCTTTCGATACAGATGTCCTATTTAGACATTTAAAAAATGTTTCTTGGGATGGTAGTAGCCTTTCAATGACATCGCAAGCTGGGTCCCCGAAAAAGTCAAACGCATGTAGGGGATCAGCTTAGCACAACGCCAAGAGCACAGTGGGATGAAACAGAGCTGTGTATCGAGAGTTCGGTCAATGGGAGGAGCAGGCAGAGTCAGGGCGTGCACCAGAAGCAAATAGAGGGCTTGGCAGACTTTCTTGGCCAATCAGAAGTCGAAAAGAGACAACTACTGGTAGTTACGAGAAACAGTTTTAGTAAGAGCGTAAGGGTTAAATGCAGCAACTCTTTATGGTTGAAAATATGGTGCACGTGATGTTTCGATTATGATCAAGCAAAAAAATGCAAGAAACGAGCGTGCCACTCAAACAGCATACGGCCTTCGTACACTGTTTTCAAACAGCGTACGAAGCGTACGAAACGGCGTACGAACAGCGTAAGGCCTTCATACGGTGTTTTCAAACAGCGCACGGCCTTTGGCTGTACGCCCAGCCTTCGGCGCCTGGTGTACGAATTATGTCTATCATTCCAGTAGTCGCGTTCTTCCACCAATATTTTGGATGACCGTGATTTAAACATCACGTGTACCATTTTTTCAGTCACCGGGAGTTACTCCAATGCACTTATTAATATTGTTTCTCGCAACCACCGCCAGGGTATTATTTCCAGCTTCTGGTTGGCCCCATCCAAATTTGTTAAGATGCCCTGGAACATGCCCAGCTTGCTTTCGGCCAATGGTGCCTCCTTGTTTGCCTCCTATACTTCCCAATGAATGGCTAGACTCTCTCTATATACGGCACTGGGGTGAAAAAGGTCCTCGGCGTTAAGTAAACGGCCTTCCAATCAACACGCTAAGTTACTATGTAAATAACTGGGAAAAAAAGAATTCATTCAAGCTACATCGTTTGATGGCGTTGACCTCCTTATTTCGATTTAGAACACATTCCTGTGCTCACAAGAAGCGACCAAAGAGAGTTCACTCTTTCTTCCCTTCAAGTAACAAGCCTCACTTATACAGAGCTTGGCGTCATTCTCGGCCGGCCAGTATTTTATGCGCCTCCAGCGTTCGGTCGGCCGTGTTAGTTTCACGCCGCACAGGTTATAGTTCGAAGAAACCAGTAAGCAGAAATAACCGTCAGTACCCAGCAATGGTGACACTTGAAAGCTATGCATAAAAAAAAAAAAAAAAATTCCTTCGCACGGCTGAGGGCATGCACCCATTGTCACGGGGTTCAAGGAGTGTGTTAAAGAGCAAACACCGGTCGACAGAAGAGAGCTCTGTCGTTGCCGTGCGTACGAATGTGACCACCGATACTGGCTTAAAATGTTATCATGGTACAAAAAAATGTGCACCATACTTCAAAAGAGTACTCGGTGCGTTAAACGCGTCGAAGACATAACAAAACAAACAAAAAAATATCTGCGCTATCGAAGGCCATGCTACCGGTTGCTTTGCGCTACCAACTTGCATCAAGACGTGCCAGCATCCCGTAATACGTTGACAAGGTGCGGTTAGAGAAACAAACATAGCGCTGATGTTCAAGACAGCTGCTCTGTGAATCCCAAGAGCATGCTGGCCGAGTCTTGAGGAGCAAAGTCGAGTTTGAGCGAAGCCGTTCAACATCGAATAGGCCTAGAATCAACGAGCAAACGATGCGTGCGCGACGAGCGAAGCCGCCTAAACCAGGGTCGCAATCGCTGTGGTATGAGGAAGGTTGTAACTTTCGTCGGCGAATACACACTGTCTGCGGACCTCATAAGCCCGCTCCGCGCGTAGCTCATCGTCGACCAAACACGACAGTTAGGCTTAAGCTCTCTAGGAACAGAACTCGTGCCAGGAACGGCGCATCGCACTTACATCTTGATCTTTGCCTTTGTTTTTGAAGTGCTGCAACCTAGATTTCTGTAAGCCATCTGTGGCCATTCTCGGTGCTTTGGTATTACCGGGACAGTCTTTGAAAAACGGACGCTCGCAGAACCATACACGTCTTTCAAAATGCCGGTCTGCACTTCACCGATGACGTCACACGGTATTTGAATCAAACGCAAACTTCTCCCTTCTGCTTTATGTTAAAAAATTGTGATTAAACAATGACCTTGAAAAAATAAAATTCATAAAAAAGAAACTACTTATTAGTGTCAAGCACTACAACTCTGCTTTGAGCAGCGCCAGCCAGATGGCGACGGATCGTTCAAGACGAGCGTTTCGCCGCAGTAAGGTTGCAACGCCTATTGGCTGAGAGAAAACAGCAAAAACAAGCAAAACAACACAAACCGGAAGTGACGAAAAGTTTTGTTTTGTTTGTTTTTGCTTCTTCCAATTTTACTTTTTGTTTTTACTTTTCGTTTCTCCAAGTGTCTGTTGGGCGCTTTTCGGAGCGGTCGCGTTGGTTCCATATGAGTGGTTCCAGCGGTCTTTCTTGTATATTATGCATTGTCGTGTTATGTGCCGCGGTATTGCCGAGTGGAGTTGGTCGTGATATTCAATGCTTGGGAACGAGCGTCGGCAGTGAAGTCCACAGCGCATTCATGCAAGCCAGCAACAGGCCCCGTCTCGCCACATGGAGCCCCGTGGGACGCTTGTTCGGAAAGTAAAAGGTGAGTGGAATTTACCTACTGGTGGCGTTCGATCGTCGATTCGGCACCGCTGTGGTGGAATTTGATAGCGCTTGGCTACCTCACGTAGCGTCGGGGACAAAGAAGAAGATAATAGAGATAATCAACGGGAGTGGCATGTGGCTCCCAAGTGCCGCCTGCGCCGCATTTGCATGTTGGGAATGTCAGCTTTTGACGAGCTCGTGCAGTCACAAAAGCGTTCTGTCGAAAGACGGGATTTACAAACAGATCAGGCTTCGCGAATGGCCCTCACGGCGCGTTGAATTTGTGGCGGGTAAATATGTTGCTGTTCGTCCTGGTAGGCCTGCAATGGTGTTTTCTGCACAAATACTGTATTCTGCCTCGTGGTACATTCACACCTGCCGCAGAACTGCTAAGCGATTCTGCTACAGGTTAATGGCGAAGAGTTGTGCTCTTCCATAGTGTGCATGTTAAAGTGACAACAAATAAGTGCCTCTCTGCTCTACTTCTCCTTTGGTATTCAACTGGTTTTATTTTCTACTACATTTTGTTCAGAAAGCCACTGCGAGACAGGCATTATTGATGTATACTATCCAAAACAATGCTTGAGCATGAGACGAGGTAACAGAAATACTTCTTTATGTGCCTGCTTTTTATGTTTTTGCAATTCACCGGCTAGACCACTCTTCTCATTGTTATTGTTTTGTTGGGTGCAAAATTTTCCACCCCAGGTGTCCGATGCTTGCGGCTGATGACTTCTACCTACGTGCATCAAACAGCGGGCCTGCACCTTCGCCGAGACAGCAGTAAAACAGTTCTGGGTAACTGCAGTGACTGGGTCACCGATGCCGTTCCACTTCCTGCACTGCACTTTGCGTGGGTCAAAGGGCCAGCGCATGCCTTTTATGCGTTGTCACCAGCCATAGTGAGTATGGCTTGAAGTCACGTCATGCGAGTGAAATGCTTGTCACCTGAGTGACGTCAGTGGGTGGGGGTAGAGTTCCTGTATAGGCTCCCTACGGGAGCCAGAGTTGCACATTTGTTTTCCCCATGCCGCCACGCCGCTATTCGCCGAGATCCATCACGTGAGGAGCAAAGCATCCGGTGGCGTGCAAGAAAGCCACCTTTACGGTCGCTCCGCCGACGTTTCTCTTGCCCCAGCGTATGTTTCCCTGCTTTCCGCCTCCTTTTCGTCCTCTCTTGTTTTCCATCCGCGCGCGGCGCCGCTATTCGCCAAATTTAGTCACGTGAGGAGCAAAGCATCCAGCTCGTGCGGGAAAGCCGGTGCTACGGCCACGCGCCGAGGCTGAATGCGCACCTCTGCTACCGTAGGTAGCCATACAGGAACTCTAGGTTGGGGGGGGGGGGGGGGGGGTTGGCGCCGCCGCCGCCGTTGGTGGGGCTATGACCGGTGCTTTGCGATCACAGACCACCAAGCACCATTGCACTGTTCCTGGGTGAACTAGCCGCTCTTGAGGAAGAACAGGGTGCTTTTGGAAGAGCTATGGTGTCCGCTTTTTCACTAGCTCCAGCTGTCGCCACAGGCATTTTGTCGAAAGGAGCAACATCTATGAATGAGTAGACTGCGCTGAATGGTGGCAAGGGGCCTCGCCTCTAACCAAGGGGGTCAAGATAGTCCCGTTTCAACAGAGGACCTCTTGGGGTATTGTACAACACAGGAAATAAAGGGCCCGAAAGTTTTCTGCCCCGACAAGGTGTAGGTTATGCCAGAACCAATTTTCTCAAAAGTGCGAGTAGACTCAAATGTGGCTTTGTTCCGTGGACACCTTCATGTGTGGTGGCACGAGGCAGTCATTGCTTAACCTTGCTTAAAGGGGCCCTGCAATCATATTTAACCATCTACCTTTTTTGCGGTTTCCACGTCTCTTGGGGTTCGGGCAAGCCAGCGGGCACGGAGAGAGTAACTAAATATCAGTGCGTCATATTTTAACCGGACGACGCGGAAACCTCCTCCAACGACGAGGGCGACCCGCGGTACCGAAAGCTCGCAAAAAGTGACGTCTTTGGTCCTGGGCTTGCCACTGGTCAAAGCCGCTAAGAGCTTTTTTTTTAGTCGAGATACAAAATAAAAGTGTCGCGAACCGTTTCAATTATGTATGAAAGTAGTTTTTGTTCACTATTTTAGATCAGAAAAGAAACAAATGCAGTTTAGAAAGTACGGAAACGAGAAATGACCCGTCGATATACCCGCCACCAAGCGGCGAAAAAAAACGGCGCATACTAGAAAAGGCTAGTGGGATGAGGCTACGACAAACGAGGAGAGTAGAAAGGTCCCGGATGTACGCGGCGGCGCTGTGGTCGTATACCGGCTCAAGAATCCGACCGGTTCAGGACGTTCCGAAGGCCTTCGGCGCGGGCCCTGCTGGCGATTTGGCCATTTGGCGCTGCATCAGCGCGAAGTGGCTCCCGTTCTGAACTGATCTTTACCCCGTGTTCGCTGTCGTTTGTGGCCGATGAAGTGTTATGCCGAATTAGTGATTAGTCGCGCAGCAAAAGCAATGCGAGCTGCCCTGGCCGCCCGCTTCATACAGCGTATCCAATTTGTGCTTTAGTGGCACCCTCTCGAGCCGTCGACACGGAGTGCGGCAGCCGTGTGCGCTCGATGAGCTCACTACTCCTCCTCTAGTTCAAGGCCACTCAAGCCAGGACCTACGACGTCATGAAGGAGGTTATTTTTTGCTTGTTCTTGTAATTCTAATTTGCCTATAACTTTTAAAATAAAGCGAAATTTGAGAAAAGAAAAGTTGGATTAAGTTACTACGTTCAGTACGCTCAGGTTCAGTGCAAATTAAAAACCAGTCAAAAAGTCATTGCAGGACCCCTTTAAAGATCAACGACTGGACTGGTCATGGGTGGCGTGCCTGAAAGTGGGACAGTAGACGGCTGTTATATACCAACTTTAGACTTCATTCACCCCTTAACTGACAGGGCACTGGAGGCTACATGCTCGGTGAACCAGCCGATCGTCAGTCTTGCATCACTTATCATGCCCCTTTCTCATACAGATGTGCAGGTCGGACATGAGGCAATAAAAGCTTGGCCCACCAACCACATGGCTCCTACCGCCCTGTCAACGTAGGGGTGAACGGAGCGTAGGGGCGGCAGAGTTGGTGGCGTCTGCTGAGTGCTCCTGGCATAGCAGCTCGGCAGTGGCGAGTTACTAAAGCACAAAATGCAATACCGCACTTTACTCTGAATGCTGCGAGCCATCGGAGCCAATCCAGTGCCGAAGGTGTGTCACGTGGCCTGTCCGTTGGGTGCTACGGCACGTGAAGCACAGTGTCATCTGGCAGCGACAGAGAGTTGGATTGGCTGCGGTGGCTCGTATCGTCGGCTGCGGTAAAACACAAGGTGAAACGGAGTAGAATGTGATGGCGTGGCGCATCACAGAAGGTGAGCAGAGTAAACAGATAAAAGTGATTTTTAGAGTGCCTTTAGAGCGCATCACCGGTGCCCCAGGGCGGGCGAGAAGAAATCTCCTCGCCCATCGATATATTGACGGGGGACCGGGGGGAGGGGCCTCTGGGCACTGGGCGGTGCCGAGAACAGGCAAGTGTGTGCGACCGGATCTCGGGTAATCATGGGAGACGAGGCCTGGGGGCCCTCCTAATGTTTAGCTTTGGCTTTACGTGCGAATATCGGTGCAATGTCGCGTGTCTTTGCAGTTTAGATTGAGTGTTTTTGAGCGTTGTGTTTTAGGAACAAATAAAAGGGAGCGGAGTACCCGCTCCCTTGAAAGAACCAGGCTGGACTCTGGTTGTTTGACGGACCACATGGGATCTGGCGTATCGGCGGCAGTATGCAATTTCCTACGATGTGTCCTTTAAGTTTCATATATTTTGGTCTTGCATTTTAACCACTATTGTATACCTTGCTCACACCATTGTTTAACATGTTTGTTTCCTACGGTTGCATTTACAATTGCACTGTGTAAAGCCCCTGGCTCCGAGGGTAAAATAAGGGAATAGAAACAAACCTATTCTGTAAGCTGCCAAGTTCAATTACGATCTCCTCTTCCTGGATATGTACTGTATGCCGAGGGCAAGTTCGTCTGCTTCTTGCGCAGGGGGTAGCGGTGACGTCGGAACGCTGAGCCCCGATTGGCTGATCGCGACCCCCTATCTGAGCGTCGTCTGCGTCTGTCTTACCTTTCCTGCGACTTTCGGAAGTGCAGAGGCCAGATTCACATAACGATCTTACGCCAAAAATGTGCGTAAGACAAAACTTAAGAACAAATTCGTGTTCACGAAACAAAATTTTCGTAAGTTTTGCGCAGGTTACGACGAAATCCTACGGCAGCTCCGAAGCTGTCTTACGCACTTCTTACGATCAAATCAGCATGGCCAACAGCGTCGCGGTCGCGAAGACCCACAGACGATTATTTTTCTATGTGCGCTTTGACGCCTCCCGACTTCAAGCCGCAAGAAAAAAGTAAAAAGTACTTGAAACAGACCACGACGAACAAGAACGCTGGATCCACAAACATCCGGGAAAAGCTCCAACGGCCACGATTCCACCGAACGCGACCAAACGAGCTGGGCAGTTAGGCCTAGTAGGCACTCCGCGACTCGGCGACCATCTGCCCACGACCGGCTGGCGT